CCACAATACATTCGAGGTATTTGTTATAATACAGGTCTATGGAGAATGGGTTCATATCTCATAGTAAGCCAGATCATAAGGACAGCTACAGGAATCTGCCCATTCCTCAAGATACTTGATTACACTCACGATTTATGGTCTGTCTGTATGTATATATGTATAAAATGTAAAACAGATAGTGACCTATCTACTAGTCATCTACCTAAAATGATCCTGTTTTAAAGTCACTATAGTTGTGCTATGAACAGTCTATAGAGCCAGTAAAAATACTCTGTTGTAACCCACCACTGTCAATGAAAATAAAGTCACAAACTTACCCTACTGGCAGGGATAAAGTGTTTGCAGGCATAATTTTAAAATTCATACGCTAGCTGTTGACCTTTATTTACTCTTTGAGTCCAATAATTACATTTTTCAGTAATTTCTATGGCTTGTGTCTAGATGTGCCCCCCCAAACCCCATGCAGCCATAGGTGGGACGTTTTTGGAGGTGGCTGAATTCAGGGTGTGTGTTGCTTGGACTCAGGGTGTGTGGTTGGTGTGTAGTTGCTGCAGGTTGCATTAAGCCATGCATTAAACCATGCTGCTTAGATAAAATAGAAAAGGAACTGAAAGAAGCTACTGCTTCTTCGTGATTGTGTTGCTTTTGCTACCTGCTGCCTGCCATGTGCCATTTCTCCTCTCTGATGCCCCCCCTCTGCCATGTCATCCTGTCTTGGAGCCAGCCAACTGTGAACTGAAACCTCTACAAACTGTGATCCAAATAAATCTTGCCTTGTTTAACTTTGGTGTTGAGTATTTTGTCTCAAAAATGAGAAAAGTAATGAAGACAGTAATCCAGGCATTTCAAGTATGATTGTAATCTATTTATTTGCCTTTATACATTCATAAGTGCTAACATGATATATAGACTCATTTGTCTCAGACACTTTACAGACTTGAACAAAGATCTGCTGTCACAATATGAAGAAGCATTTAAAACCATTGCTAAGTGATCTTGTCTTCAAAAATTTATCATGGAAGCAGGAGTAGAGTCTTAGTAGTATTGCCAAGATTAATTCAAGTTTAAAAGCAAATTAGAACTGCTTAATATGGTACCTCTCTTGGTTAGTGACACATGTGGCCCTGGAGAAACAAGCATAGTGAAGACGGGGTTCTGCTGTAGGTAGTTTGCAGTGAGCAGGGAAGCCTGCTGGAACCGCAGGATCTGTGCTTCAGCACACTGCGGAAGTGCCGTGAGTGAAGATGTTCGAAGCAGAATCAGCAGCATGAGAGAGCTTGTGTATATGAATGCTGTGTCGGAAAAGCCAATCAGACACAGTGTCATATATGCTCTGACATCTGCTAGGCTTATAACTTTGGGTAGTTTTCTTAATTCTCCTGTGCCTCAGTTTCTTCATGCTTGATAGGTAGAACATGTCTTCTACTTATCTCATAATTTGTCAGGTGCTGATGAGATCATGTGTGTGTAAACCTGTTTAGAAGTGAGTTTATATATAATGTTGGCTACTAAGGCTACCATAATTGAGAATGAAAGGAATTTCCCTTCCTATCGAATCACACTGTACCCACCCCTTTGAAACTGTGTGTACCTTTCCTCCCTGGAGAAAATTACAGGATGCTGCTGAATTGCGGTGGGTTACAAGGGGGTATGCTTGGGTCACACTGGCAACCCCATTTCAGGAAGAGCTTTCTTGATGGGTGACATTCACTGAGCACCTGGGAACGAGGAGGACATGCAAAACACCCATGGAATCTCACAACGCTATTCATGTAGGGGCTTTCAATGATCAGATGAGTTATACCATCTATGGAATGTGCTGTGCATGGGCTGTGCATGGGCTCTCTGTGAAGTTCCACCCATCAGGAAGCAGTACACTAAACCAGCCTTCACTGTGCTTCCTCTAGCAGTTTTTAACTGCCTTCCAGGGTGTCTCCCGGGTCTGGAGAATGAAACCCTCAGAAGCCCTAAACCCTCCCATCTAATGCAGATATTTTGAGAATATTTTGAAAGTTGCACTGTAGTTGTGGCTTTATAGAAGTGGAAAAAAGTATTGGCATTTCTAAACCCAGAACTATTTTTTAACAAGCTAGAAAATACTAAAAAACAGGTAGAACTGTTTCCTCAAGAGAATCCAGTATAGTTAGAATTGTACACTATTCTTTTCCTGTGTGTATTTCAGTAAAATATGTGCACTGAAATTTCAGGGCAATTCCTAATGCAGAAATAATCCAAAATATGGCAGATTTATAAGTGAGGCAATTTTTATTTATTTGCTAATGTGGATTCCCTTAAGAGCTCAAAGCATTGTGCTTGTTACTTATGGCTTCTCCTTGAAAAGTGTTACTCGGAATGTCTTGGCAGCATAAAATTTCTGGCTGCAGAGTGGTCTGAGCTGAGCATCAGCTGTAATTCTCTTTTGTCACACAAGTCAGGGTGGCTTGGACTCTACTAATGTGCAACCTATTTGATAATTAATAATTCATAATTAAAGTGACAGTACAAATAAATCAACATAACTATAGATTTGCAATCTGCTCTGTCTGTTATCTTCATTTTCATCTCTGAAATGAAATTGAGAAGAACAGATTAGGCATTGGAAATCCTCCATTCATAGCTGTACCTTCTTTGCTTTTGATATTCTGTCCAATGTGTTCTTTAATCTTCTTTCAAAGAGGAGTTATGCGCGTACCCTTCTGGTCTCTGAACCCGACGCTGTGGACTATGTCTGATGTCTGCTTGTCTTGCTGCAACTCGTTCTGTGATGAGTATGAAGCACCACCTGCAGTGCCACACACTTGGTACATATCATTCAACTTGACCAAGATGAAGCAGAAAAGAGAGTTTCAGGATATGAGGGAAGCTGGAAAACAACAGAGGGCAGGTGGCCTTTGAATGGCCCTTTCAGGAGGAGCCAGGCTGTTCTGGAAAGAGTCTAGGAAGTAGGAAGAGAAGCAAATCATGGGAGTGCCTGTGCTCTTCTCACACTCCAGGAGAGTTAAGGTGCTTCAGTGTGCTGGGTGAAAGGGAAGCCCACTGCAGCATCAGACAGCAGAGAGCTTTCCTCTTGCAAAGGCATACATGTGCTCTACCTGCTCCGCAGTGGGGAGCTGAGTGTTAGCAGGGGAGAGGTAGGATCAGGCCGTTATCCGAAGTGCTCACTTTCACCACATGTAGGAGAGGGATCGGAAGGATCAACAAACACAAAGACACCACAGGGAAGGTTCCAGGTGAGAGCCTTCTGCTCTTGTCCCAGTGAAAACTGGTGAGAATTTCAACCAGAAATAATGTGGGTATTTAACTGTGATGAGCTTTGAGTTGAAGTGTAATCAACGTCCGGCAGTGGCACAAGGTAAGACCAGGGATCCTGTTAGACTCCAAAATACATGGCCATGGTCCTGGCCCAGCAGAAGGAAGCAGTTATTTGTGAAAGATGTTATTGCTGCTGTTAGTGTAGGCATCATAGTCATCACCACTGTTGTCTCAGCAGCTACCGCTTGCTGGGTGTTTACTTTATAACAGGCATTCTATTGAGCCACTATTCCACCTAAATGTCATACCATGGAGAATTTAGCTACTGCTAACATCTGCATTCACAGAGGAAAAAGTCCAAGCAACAGAGGTGAAGTCAGATTGCTGCCTAAAATCCTGCAGCAGAGAGGGAGCTGAGCTAAGCCAAAACCTGGGTCTGTCTGGATCTAGATCCCTGCTCCCAATCACTGGGCTGCCATGTTGTTAACAATTACGCTTGACAGTGCAGATAGCTCACAATGTACAATGACTTTACTTGGAATTTTTGACTTTTTCCGTGGTGTAAAAGCATTTCTTAGAAGAAATTTTACTTTGATTTTTTATTTTAAATCTTTTCATAGACTTGGGTTGCACAGTGTGAACCCCTTCACTTACTACATTGGGTGGTAACAGGGACTCACAGCTCCCAGTCAGCCACTGTGTCCAGCCCAGTCAGCCACTGTGTCCAGCCCAGTCAGCCACTGGGTCCAAACCACAAGCTTGGCAGTGTGCTAAGTTGCTAGACCATGATGTTCACCATATTGGCTGGAACAACCCATTTATATGGAAGGTTGCATTTTTAAATTTTTGCATGAAATTTTTATGGGTTATCTGGAAAAACCAAGGAATAAGAATTTGAAGAGAAACATTTCTATTATGCTCTATTGTTATATGTTTCAAAAAAAGAATGCTATGCATAAATAGATTGGTTCTTATAATAGTTTCAGCTAGGAATGTACTTATTGTGACATCATCCATCATAAGTCAAAAAGCATTTGTACAATCTTATGACAACACCAGGAGCAGGGACATTCGTACTGGCTTCTTAAAGCCAAGGAGAAAGCAATTAACTCTAATTGAGGAAATTACAGAAAATTGTACTCAGTTTTAAACGATGTGTTTTAAGAGATTGGTAGAAATTTTCTGCTTAAAAAAATGAGAAGAAAGGGAGTCCAGGAAAGCACACCCTATGCGACATCCAGGATGCCCAGGAAATGATGACTGACCAGTGCACTTGGCTTTCTGAGTGAGCTCTTGGAAGAGGCCTGTGGCTGGGAGATACTCAGGGTTACCCGCCTACGCCACTGACTCCACTTGAAGGAGTGAACATGTGGGCAGAGAAGAGGAGTCTTGGAAGACCTGGAATTTTCACTTTGATTTAATCTTGAGTCAACAAGCAGCAATGCCTGTCTTCAGTACCTCTACTGCCCCACCACACACACACACACACACACACACACACACACACACACACACGCACATAATCACACTTGCATCAACAGGGCATGATCCTGACTTTTCTTCTATCAGGCATGTGGTGTAATATAAAATATTGTCAGGGGCCACATCCTTGGAAAATCGAGCAACCTAAAATTTATTGTCGATAACAATATTCACCATGGAAATATGCCATACACATATTCTAGGTTAACACTTTTAGTGTGAAGAATCATTCTCAAGCATTCTTTCTCTCCTGTGTTTCTTTACAGTCCCTCCACAAATCATGAACATCTCCTCAGACGTCACCGTGAATGAGGGGAGCAGCGTGACCCTGCTGTGCCTTGCCATTGGCAGACCAGAGCCGACTGTGACGTGGAGACACCTGTCAGTCAAGGGTAAGGTATTCTCTGACTGAGTCTGCTAAAGGCTTGATCCTTTTGCATGAACCAGTGCAGGCAGTAAACAGCATCGCTGCATATGTACAACAGTAGTGTAAACTCAAGGAGGAAGCATGCACCAGGGCTGAGTATTCCACTCCAAAGAAGAATGGCAGAAATTTAATGAATTATTTTCTAATCTTTTTCATGGCCTCAGAAGGCTCGCATTTGCTAAACTACAAAGAACTGAGGTGAATAAGAACAACTTACGTGAGGATAATGATCTCTCAAGTGGTGATGGTTGTGTGCCTTATTGCAATGTAGTGCTATTAGGCACTTTGGCACTATGGTGTATGCAGCAAGGGTCTTCTGGCCTTGGTACATTCGGGGAATTTACCAAAGTATGCTTCTCTGACCCATACATAAGTAGCTCACCTTGAGTAGAGGAATGTCATAGAAATGGGTAAGTGCACCTGGGCCTGGCTTGGCTGGGTGCTGAATATGGCACTGGAACTTTAATTATGGTAATCTTCAGCTTGTTAGGAAAGCAACCGAAAAGAAACTGAGCCCTATCACCTTGGACTAAAACCTGCTCCAAGTTGAACTTGAAGAGATTGGCAAAGAGCCCCTTGATATATTTATGCGGTTACTAAAAATTACGATTAATTTTAGAAAGTATACAAGGAACTTCTCCCTCAGGCATCAGAAAATTCAAGCATGAAGCTCAGTAAATAGGAAGCTATGTGGAGTGTGCCTGTATGTAATGGAAAAGTAATGTACATTTTAAAGAAAACATGGAACGAAATCTTAGTGACCTTGAGAACAGCAGAGATCTGCCAAGTCCCAAAAGCGATGCCCCTAAAAGTAAAGTGGTAAATGTGTGTTCACTTTCTAGGCATACCCTAACAAGGCGCCAAAAAATGTGTGACTTAAATGACAGATATTTGTTTCTTCACAACTTTGGAGTCTGTGTGTCCTAGATCAAAGTTTTTGTTCCATTTCTTTTTTCTTGCTTCTGGTGATTTTCTGGCAATCTTGGAAATGTCTTAATGCATCATCCTGATACCTTCACCTTTACACACTAATTGTGTGTGTGTGTGTGTGTGTGTGTGTGTGTGTGTGTGTATGCGATGTGTCCATCCACATGTCCCCTTCTGTAAAGTCACGAACTACATTGTATTAGGGCCTAACTTAATTACCCCTTGTCCTAGTTATTTTTTACTAGTCACTGAGACAAAATACCTGATGACCAAAATTGGGAAAGGAAAGGTTTATTTCTTACATTTTTTGGAGGTTTCAATCCATATCAGTTGGTTCCAAGGCAGGGTGGCATGGTGAGGCAGCAGCTCATGGTGGCTGCAAACAGCAAGGTGGAAACCAGCGAGAGAGAGACACACCATCTTCCTGCTATTACATCACATTCTGGCTCTACCCCTAGGCCAGTATAGCACTCATACCCCCAATCCAAGCCTTAGACAATGAACCAATCAATCACAAATGCACAATGCAAATGCATGAGACCTGGGGGCCACCACCATAAACCATGGCACCCTGTCAGGTCTTACTTTAAAATAAAGTCACATTTTGAGGTCCTGGGGATTAGGAATACAAGGTATTACTTGGCCAGAAGGTATAACTCAACCCGGAACAGGTTTCATCAAAACTAGAAACATTATTAAGAATAATTGAAAATATAAGGCACAGACCTTGGAAACCAATGCACTGTACATATGTCTGACAAATAACTTGCATCTAGCCTGTACAGAGAATTCTTGCAACAAATTCCTACAGGCTACTTCAGAATGAGGAAACAATTGACAACTCCAAAACAAGATTCATAAATAGCAGATAAACACATAGAAATGTATTCAACATCATTCCCAGAAATTAAAATTAAGCCACAGTGAGATATCATCAGCACAATTACTGGGAAGACCAAAATTTAAGACTGCTAATGTCAAGTGTTGGGAAGCTCATATATATATATATATCAATTCTGGGCCTTTAAAATGTCATAAATAGTGGAAATATTTTGATATTTTGTTGTAAAGTGAAATATATACTTAGCATATAACCTAGCTAGTAATTGCATGCTAAGTATTTAGTCAAGGTAACTGAAAGCATACATATACAGGTGCACACTGGACACGGCTGTTCTTACTGGCCCCATTCATAGTCAACTAACACAAGATATAACCCAAATAAATACCAGCAAGCAAGATAAATTGGAGTATATTCGTGCTACAGTTCAATTCTCAGTGATTGGAACCACTGATACACATAGCAGAATGAAAGTCTAAAATACTATGCTATAAAAAAAGTGAAGCATAAATAATTGCCCAGCACATGTTTTCATTTACGTGACGATCTGGGCTAGAGGATACTAATTTTTTTGTGATAGAAGCCGAATCCGTGGCTACCAAGGGTACAGCTTTAGAAGAACTGATTGTGAAAGAGTCCACGGAAATTGATGGTGGAAGTAGGGGAGATGGAAAAGTGTGTTATCTTGAAAGAAATTGTCTTTACATTGGTGTTAAAATTAGTCTAAACTAACAACATGGAAACTTTAAAATAAGTGCATTGTATTGCATGCTAATTAAAGTTCAATAAATTATGAAATGTAAATACAGACATGTAGGAAGCATTGACCTGAATTTTTGCCTAATTTCAGAAATTAATTATCTTAGCAGCAGTAAATAAGAGATTGGTTTGTTGCTAGCAGCGCCTCCTAATCTTTTTCTGTTGTCTTTTGTAAAAACTGAGGACAGGTATTTTGTCCCTGCCTCATTATAGGAAAAGGTAATGCTAATAAATCTGCTTGACAATTTTTATATAAAGACCTCCGATAACAATATGTAAATTGTCAACATTTTGAAGTAATATTTATAAGAATATTAAAGTATGCATGAGGGATTCTATAAAACTGCAGCTTAATATAAACAGAACAATTGTATATCTTCCCAAAGACACTGGTTCCAGAGAATCTTGCGTAAAGCCAGGGAGAATTTTGGTTTTACAATACATACAAAAATATGACTAGCCATCAGAACAATTGTTCATGTTTGATAAAGTCAGGTGTATTTATAAATGCTTGAAATCCCAGAATGTACTTATTTTATTCTAAGTATGTAGCTCTGCAAGTCTGGAAATATTGTAAAAGGCAATTTGACTTTATATAAGTATTTTGAAGCAATTCTTTCTAAGGGTAAACTGGTAACATTTACCTTTAAAGGAAAGTAAATTCATTCATATTCCCAATCTCTTATATAATGTGATAATTGCAATTCAATCTTAAAAAAAAAACCCAGTAAATTCTAAATTGAAATGCTCTTTGGACCATTTTGTTTTCTCACACCCACACCTTTCTGTTCTCTCATTTCCACTATCCTCTTTCCTTTCCCACTGTCAATGACATTTAAATGTTTAAATTCAAAGGACTTTTTCCTAGGTTGTAAAAGCTCTGAAACATGGAGAGTTTGCAGGTCTAACATTTGCACCTGCCCACTGGCTTCCAATATGTATTCTTTAAAAAGAATCTTCACCTCACTTAGAGTTAGGAATTTGTCTTAAAGGTTTGGAAAAATATTCAATGACACTTGAACAGAAAATAACATTTTGAGAAAATTTTGCCAGTTAGTTTAGCATGGAAGCATAAGAAATAAAGGTGACAATGACATTTCATTTGAAATTCCAATAGGAGTACTTGGGAGGATTTAGCTCACTGGAAAACTGTGTTCCCAAAATGCTAATACAGTGTTTGAAAAATAGGGGTGAAATTTGGATATCTTTATAGGAAGAATGAATAAACAAGCTTTTCATATGTATGATGTAGAGAAGATTAAAGAGTAATAATTAATAGTAGCCACACTTAGGCTTTAATTTTAAAGTGACTCAGTGTAGGCTGTCAATTATTAGAAACTATACAGTTAAAAATATAAGAATAAATATATCCATTATGACACTAGAAAATAATAGTACTAAGTTTTGCTGAGTCAGAGACTATGAAGAACCTCTGAAACATGAAAAATAGATGTGATGAAGGAAACCTACAGCTCAAAATACAAGAATATTATCTCTTCTTGAAATTATGGATAGTGGGAAAATGCAGGGTTTCAGGTAAAGGCAGTAGGAAATGTTTTAAACTGCTTGGGGATATGAGGAAGAAGAGGGGGGAGCTCTGGCAGCGTATGCCAATTCTTCTGGTGTAAATACTGCCATCACCTCCACTTTCCGGGGAGCCCCTTTGAGGAAACTGGCTTTTCAAGTACATTTTCTCAAACAAACAAGCACACCAAAAATGTGTGTTCCTTGCAAAAGCAGGTTGAGAGTGTTAAAGGATACCTCTGGCTTTCTTGATCTACAGCCAGAGTAGGCAGCTGCAGACTTTCTGACCTCCAGTTTCCTCTGTAAAATTGAGATGATGCTGGAATTCCCACAAATGCATTCCATCCACCTCACTTCCAGCGAAAGCTGGAGATTGGACAGCACCAAAATGAAGTGTTGCAAACATCTGCAAGAAAAGCACTCCACATGCGTAGCTTGGGGTCTTGGGATTGACTAAGCATTTGAGCACCAAGCATTTCATTCTTTGTCTTTGGATATGAAAAGCTATACTTAATTTTGTATGGCAGATAATAGCTTATGGAAACCTATATTCATATGGACTTGATGGATACATGGGACTACTTAATCAGTTGCACACACACACAAATCTATACACAGGATCTCAGGAAAGTGGGATAGGGATGGAGTCTCCTGCAGGCCTCAGAGAGATTTTTGCAGCAAACGACAGGTTCACTCAAAACAGGCAGGCAAAGTAGGCTGGCGAGTGGCTCCTTTTATTTAGAATGCATTGTGAATCATCTGGGTTTCAAGAGTTATTTTCTTCCCCCCTATTAAGCTGAGCTTGTGGACCAGCACAAGAAGGAGGCTGGCTCTTCATGAGTAGTACAAAAACAAGGGGCAAGAATGGTGTGGGAGACCGAGGCCGTAGGGGCTTTACTGTTGTAGAGAGCCTG